AACAGGATTTCAGCAGGTAAATGAGCACCTCAGCCAGGTAGAAGACCTGATGAAAGGGAAACCATCAGAGATTAAACAACAGTTAAATGAAACTGTAATAACTCCAGAACAGTTTTTATTGAGAGTGATGCCAGGTAACACAGATGAGATTAAGAGTTACCATGTGAGCTACCCAGCTATAATAGTCAGAAAAGATGTTAAAAATCAGACTACTGTCCTGGATTTTATCTCCCCAAAACTGGAAGAAAATAGAGGCACAGAAACAAGAGAAGGGTACTGAGAAAATATGGGAAATGCTAGAAATGGATATCTTTCCAGACAGACTGAATGTACGTCCAAGACAGAAGGAAATTGAAAGAGGGGATGTATTGTATAATTGGTCTTGATTTCTTGATAGAGTTGGAATTAGATTTAAATTAAAACATGACTATAAGCTAATATTTAGAGGATAACCAAACAGTATATAGATATATAAAAAAAAGAATACAAAGTTGTTTTTTGCATTGAAAAATGAATAGATCAGAGGCATGTATACCTAATATGAATAGAGTGGATGATTGTATATTCTGCGTTCTCCTATCCTCAAAACCCTTTCCCCATCCCTTACACTTCCTTTTACTTTTTGTATTCCCTACCCTATTCCTAGTAGTTTAAAAATTTAAAATTATTTTTAAAAAAGAGGCAAAATCTTCCACGCTGCCAGGTGCAGAGCAGGCAAGTCTCGATGAAGTATCTGGGAGTTGTTCTGCGTGAGAAGGTGAGGCAGATGGGGGAGGTGATAAATGTCGTCTTAGCCTCCAGTTAGCTAAGTCTTTTCTCTCTCTCTCTCTCTCTTCTTTTCTTATTCTATCCCATCTTGGTACTCCTTTCTTAAATTAATTGTCTTAATATTGCAATTGTATTTATATGATTATATATTCTTATATTGATTTATTTTATGTTGTAAGCAGCCCCAAGTAGACATGGTCTAGAGGGGCAGGGTATAAATTTAATAAATAAATAAATAAATTGGGTTTGTCTTGCTGTAGACAGACAACTACCGCATTTCCCGTGTATATGACCCCTCAATGTATAAACCGAGCCCCTAATTTTGATCCTTGCTGGACGTGGAGAAGTTAATGGGCAACTTCTCCTTCACTTCCATCTCCCCTGCTGCTACTGCTCCCTCTGCTGCCTGCCCGATCAACTCCTCCAGTGCGACTGCTTCGCCTCCGCCACCTGCTGCCTCTGCCACCAGTGGGGACAAGGTGGATGTGAGCTGGAGGTGAGCCCCATAAGTCCCACTAGAGGAGGTGATCAGGCGGGCAGGAGAGGCAGCAGCAAGAGGCGCTCAAGCACATGACTGCTCTTTTGCCTCCATCTCCTCCTGCTGCTGCTGCTGCCTCCACCACCTGAGGTGACAAGCTGTGAGCTCTGGAGGAGGCAATTGGGTAGCGGCAGCAGCAAGAGGCGCCTGAGCACACATGAGACTGCTCCTTTGCCTCTGCTTCCTTTTGTGTATAAAACAACCCTCAATTTTTCCTCTATCTTAGGAAAAAGTGTTGTTTTATACATGGAAAAATACGGTAGAGGAGCAGGAATGGTGTGAAGAGGTGAGAGTCCTGGTTTTATACATGGAAAAATACGGTACTTTGTGGAGGAGCAGGAATGGTGTGAAGAGGTGAGGGTCCTATGCCAACGGCCGATGAACGCATCTCCCTGGGAGTGTCTGCCAACTCCAGCATGGGAGCAATAGTGCCTGCACTTCCGAGTCTCTTGTGAGGCAAAGAGGTCGAGAGTTGGCTTGCCCCACTTTTTGCAGAGGTGGAGGAAGATCGTTTGGTCCAATTCCCACTCGTGAGGTTGGGAGTTTGTACGACTGAGGAAGTCTGCCAGGTCATTGTCCTGGCCTGTAATGTGTAGAGCTGTCAGGCAGATGTGATTAATTAATTAAATTTCAGTCCGTTCCTATGGGAAAATGTACCTCGCAAGGCGAAAATATCTTCATCTTGCGGGGCACCAAAAAACTCGCAAGACACTTTCATCTTGTGAGTTTTTCATTGCCCGAGGCATTCGTCTTGTGAGGTACCACTGTATTAGAAAGAAAAATATTTAGGAATCAAGAGTAACAAAACTCTCTTTCACTTTTAACTCACAGAAGCTAGAAGTACAAGGCTCTTAAACGTGGTGGTTGAAAGAAACTGAAGGGAGAGTTTTGGTGCCAAGGTACTTATACAGAGGGGGTGGGTCTATTCTAATGTGGTTTTTGCTACCACAGAAGCTCTAGAATCCTCCGACGAGGCTCCGCGCAGATCACCCATGATGTGATTCACAGAGACCACAAAGAAGAACCCACAGTTAGGGTACCCTGACAGAGGGCCATCCTTACTACCCTCCAAGATAGTCCATTTCACGGCAAAATAGCCCTTCAATGAAGACATTTTGCTTAATGTTTAGTCAAAATCTTTAAAAATCATTTTAATCCTATCAAAGCGAATGGATTCAGCAGAAAGCAAGTTTGCTGCATCCCCTCTATGACAGCCCTTCACAAGGTAAAGATGGCTATCATCTCTCAGTAATTTCATTTCCCGACCATACATACCCCTTGTTCTCAACTATTCTTCAGAAGTCTTGGTTTCCAGATCCTTTATTATCTCTGTCAACTACCTCAGGATGGATACACTCAACTCAACATAATCCTCTGATTATGCTATTGAATAGGACACATTTGGATTTTGGAATAAATTCTACTCTATTAATAGTTTCCTTAAAGAAATGGAAGACACTGAGACCATTATATTACTGTAAAGGAAAAGGTTAGATAATGGCACATTTCATTGGCTTGTGTGAAAAACTGCCCTTTGACTCCTCTCTTCCCTGAACTGCTTTAACTTTAGCTGTGTAACTTTAATAAAAGGAGCCCAAACATGGCTTTCATCTCCTCCTTCCCCTATCCATTATCTTTTTCCTTCTGTTTACAAGATTATACCCATATGTGCTTCAACTGTTTTATAATTGGTAGAGCACCTAGGAAATTTTAGATACTTCATAGATGAAATCAATTCATTGAGTTTGGTCAGAGACTAGACTCTGTGTGGCTCCATGTACAGGAGGTGCTTCAACTTAATTTTAGCTGATTCTTCTTTCCCTTTACTTACACCACATGCCACCACGTTCAACAAGGATCCCTAACCATCCATGTAGCATTTTGAGAGGCTGAAGAAGTTGCCTTGGGGAGGAGGATGCATAAAAGTTTCAGTTGCACCGAAATCTGGATCCTTATAATTAAATGCTTGAAACACATTAGTTATTTGCTGAATTACTTATATTCTAGATGAATTCTAAGTTTTACTTATCAACAGCAAAACAAGCAAAACATGTGCTTCTAACAATTTTCTGTTGAAAGCAAATGAGAAAAGAATGAACAGATTTACAAGAAAGCATCCATCATATCAGTGACCTGGTTACATATGGCAACAGAAATAAATGTATCATTTAGATGAAGCCGCTTTTAAGGGGAAAGGGTATTGCTTCTCCAATACATGTAAACACAGATACAGACTACTGGGATGAAATGCTTAAGACAGTCAAAAAGCCATTGTGTGGAACAGAAAATAAGTTATTTATTGTTGCTTTCTGAAACAAACACTACACCCAACACCCCTCTTCCACATCAATAATTCAGTACAATCTCATCAGAAACATCAGGCAGACCCAACAAGTTTAATAACACCAAAATAGGTGCAAATTCATTGTCAATCGGCAGTGGTCTGGAGCATGTTTGACATAGGTCAAGAAAAGGATAATCTGGAATGTGAAGGAGAGGACTGTCTGCAGGAAGCAAACTCTTACTTAAAAACACTTTACAAATCAATTTCTCCTTTCTCTAAGACTGATTTCAGATCAGTGGAAGCAGTTAACACTAAAATATAGATCTCCTTGCAGAAAGAGATTAAATATTTCATTTCACATTCCTTAAGTTGTATGTTCAAGAGCCTTACTGAGGGACAGCACAAAGACATGAACCACAAGTCCTTGCTACAAGCACCTACCAAAAATACAGAATGAAGATACACTTTCCATCATGAGATGCAATAGTAACCTATGACACTCAGCCTAATTTCAAAAGCTTTTAGAAGGATCAGTTCAGACCTTTTATTTGTCCCTCCACAGGCAACCAACCGGGTGGAAATAAAGAGGAGACAGAAAAGGGGTGACCTCCATCCATTTTGGACTTTGCTCATCACCAGTGTACAGTCAGCAAACAAATACTCTAAAGAAACACTGCTCTCAAAAGAAAAGTTTCCTACCTTTACACTAGACAATCTTTGGAAATCAACCATACCCAAGCAGTCTCAGGTCACAAACATTTTCAAGCAAGTGAAGTATTATTTCAGTTTTGCTCCAGTATTTAATATGCTTTTAATAAAGGTTTTTGGATTGTACCAATTAAGAATGAGACCATTACACATTAACATTCTACAGACACAGGGTATGTGAGAGCCAGCATTGTATAGTGGATAGAAAAACTCAGAAAACCTGGGTTCAAATCCTTGCATGGCATTGGTAACTCGGGTGGTAAGAGGTAAACCACTCCTTGAATACCTCACATACCTTGAAAGCCCCATTAGGTTGGTGGGGGCTAGTATCTTGCTGTGCATCTCTGCCTATTCAAGAGGAATAATATCACTGGCAGACTGACACTGAAGAATTTATTTCCCAGTTCTGGGATACATGTGACTTTGTATCATTGCACATATATCACTCACACTCTAAAAGGAAGACTTTAATTAGGAGCAATTTACCAGTGATGCCACTCCTGTTCCACAGAATGAGTTATACAGCAAGATACTGGCCTGTAAACGAGAAGTGACTGAAAATATATACAGATTAAGGGGTTCACTTACCATGTAGAAATAAGATAGGCAGCAGCATATGGTCCAGAAGACTGATCCAGTTTTCACAGACTTCACCTTAAAAAAGTCACTTGAATGTCATTAGCAGTAGGAAAAAATCAAACACATACACATATCTAACAGGCATGCTGTTATAAAAGCATACACTGCAACTATACAATGATTTTGGTTGTTCTCTGAATACACTGACATACTTTACTTTTTAGATTAATTACAAGAAGCCTGCAAAGGACAAATGTGACCTTGCTGATCATAACAAAAATCAAGATACACACTAGCGTTATATCATTATTAGGCCAAATCAAAGACGACATAACATGTGAAAGTTCCAAGGTTTCCAAATCTCTCAATCAAGTCATTTCACAATACAGCAATGCAACCTTTTACACTGATAGGTGAAGTAACTGGCAACAGCCCCGGAAAAACAACAACACGTGAGCACTTTTAACTGGTTGTTAAACTGCTTTTGTCTGATAATCAGAAAGACGTATCTATTTATTTAAAATATTTCTATCCCACCTTTCTCCCCCAAAGGACCCAAACCAGCTAAAGATATGGGTATACATAAAATCCAAAACACATTTAAAGGAAAATGTCAAAGAATTCATTGCATTAATAGCAGAACATGAAATGCATTAAATTTCAGTAGTTACTTACCCACAAGTAGTATGTGAACTGCAGTGCAAAAATAGCTATCCCTTCATTGTCAAAAGATCCTGCAACTGATCGTGATATGTAACCTGGTACTATAGCAATAAAACAAGAAGCGAGAAGTCCTGCTCCCTGGTTCCACAGTTCTCTGGTAAGCAGGAAAGTAGATATTGATGTAAGGCCGCTAAAAACTGGTGCTAGAAACACACATACATCTCTTATGTGGACAGTTATGTTAAGCATATTTAAAATCCAATGTATAAGGCCAGCCGTCACCATCAACCCTGGGTATACCTATGAGAGAGATGGGGGGGGGAGCAATTCAGTACACTGTACACCAAAGATGTGTCCTTTTTCAATTTTTATTGAAGACTCAAAATATCTTGTGGTAAGAAGATCCTGTTACTTCAGCAACCAATATAAAAATCAAACTACAGATTAAAAACCCAAGTAGAAAACAGTTCCAAGTATTTTGAAAACCTTTAAGTTAAAAGCCAGCACCCCTAAGACAATTCACTGCTTAAAGGCCTGCCTGAAGAGGAAGGTATTTGCCTAACTACGGAATGAATCAACCTGGCTTCTCAGGGTATTCTGTTCTAGGACAGCTACTGAGAAGGTCCTCTCTTGTGTCTTCACGAAATGAGCTTGGGAAAATAGTTGAACACAGAGAAGGGTCTCCCAAAAACACCTTAAAAGCTTAGTAGGTTTATATGAGGTGATACAATCTTTCAAACAGCCTGGACCCAAGCTTTATAAGTAAAAACCAGCACTATGAATGGGCCTAAAAACAGACTAACAGCTAGTGAAGCTGTTGTAATAAGGAAATTACATGCTCCCTATAACTAGCACCAGTTTGGCTGCAGCATTCTCAGCCAGCTAAAGTTTCCAAACTCTCTTCAAGGACAGCCCCACATAAAGAGCATTGCAGTAATCCAAATGGGATGCAACTAAGGCATGTATCACCACGGCTAGACTGTAAAATTTGTTCAGCTCAAAAGAGGTCCATGGGGTACAAAATCTGATTAAATATAACTGCCAGAATGAAACTGTTCTCATTTATCTACTGCATTCATTTGCTGAAACAGCAGCAACATCAAATTTAAGATTATACAGGCAGGAATAATTCTAATACAGTGTAGCTTAATATACCAAAAATATGGCCCTTCCTATGACAAAAGGCTCTGCCAAGGGGGCTAACTATTATTTGAAACTACCATATATGCAGTACTGGTGAACACTGTTTCTAAAGCAAACATTATACTTTACAATGTAGCAGTTCAAATCAGAACAATCAGAATTTTAGAAAAAAGAATAGACTGATTTCATTAAGCATTTTATGGACAATACAGTACTGTATATATTTTATTGACTTGCAGCTTGTAATTTACTCAAACAACATTTCTTAGACTTATAGAAGTTAACTTCCTTGTGAGGCTACATCAAGACTTTGAGGCAGGTGACATCAGATTTCTACATTGTAATGAGAGCAATTATAACCTTCTACAATCTTATAATTATAAAGGATAATCCCCTCTAAGCTTCCTCACACAAATGCTGTAGCAGCCAGGTTGGGGTTACCACTAAAATTTTCTCCAGAACTAAGAGACCCTGACACTGGGCAGGTGCAGACCCATAAATGCGATGCATGGAAATCATGATGAAGAACATCTGTTTTGAATGAAAAAAGGCTTTTGAGCTATGCAGAAGCTTTTTAATAGTCAATTTCATATATTACACATTTAAACTAATATACACTTATTTAAAATGGTGTTTACTGTTCTAGAATTAACCATTCTAGTACTGAACAATATTTTCTGCCCCATGCTCTTTTTAAAAGAGAAGCAAGACTGAAATGAGACACCAGATTCATCACTACTTACCATCTCTTCCCCTACATATATAATTCCCCCATATCAAAGGAATATTTAAAACTTATATAATTCTCCTATATCATTCACCTATATCAAAGGAATACTTAAAACAGACATTGTATGCAAGCACTCTTCTCTCACTTTGGACATTAAATTAATGCGAAAGCAACTTCACTGTCTACAGTTGCAGGATTGCCAATTCCTTGATCTGAGTTTTTGTTTTTTGTTTTTTCCAACTATGGGAGTACAGAGGCTTTAACTCTATCCAAAACCTCTTGTGCTTTATAACTGTACAAAATCTGCTGTTTTAGGAGATTTCTGGTTTTGGACACTGTTTAGCTATTAATAAGTAGCATCTATCATTTCACTTGCCTCTATGGAATTACTTCCACTGATCAACAGGATTTCTACAGGGAAAGATCACTTACTGTAACTATAATTACAGACCTAGATTATTTGTCTGGGCAGGGCTTCATTCAAGGAAACTTCTAAAGCTAGACTAGAATTTTCATAAGAGCCCTGACCCTACTCCCTATGCATATGCCCCTATGTTCTCATTCAGTTCCATTTTGTACCAGTCCAATGATGAAGTAAACAGTGATAAAAACCAGGCAGAACAGCATATGGAGGGAAGCGTGGGCTATATAAATGCGCAAGTAAACAATTGAAGAACTACTGTCATGGTAAAGTAGCTTCCTCTTTCCCTGCATGTTAAAATCTATTTAGCTACAACTGGCCAATTCCAACAGCAGTGAAACAACTGAACAAGTAAGAATTAGGTTTTGTTGAGGAAGACAATTGATCAGTTCCAATTTTAAATATGTTAGCTAATGTCTGCTTACAGTGGACCCTCGACATGCACAGCTCGGCGCGCATACTTTTCAAGGTATGGACTTCTCTGGCCAGAAAATTTGCCATCAACTTGCGACCAGAGAATTGACCTATGGACCGGAAGGGGGAGGCGGGGAAAGCACCAAATTCAAATTTGGCGCTTTTCCTGCCTCCCCCTTCCAGTCCGTAGGCTGCCAATTGTGCCTCCGGATGCCTTCCAGGGCTTCTCCGCTGCCATGGGAGGCATCTCGGAGGTACCCCCCCGCCGCCGATAAGAGAAGCCCTGGAAGGCATCCAGAGGTCCGCCCCCCACTGCCGATTGTGCTTCAGAGGTACAATCGGCAGGGGGGCCCTCCGAGATGCCTCCCATGGCGGCAGAGAAGCCCTGGAATTCATCTGGAGGTCCCCCTCGCCGCCGATTGTGCCTCCGGATGCCTTCCATGGCTTCTCCACCACCATGGGAGGCCTCTTGGAGGTCCCCCGCCCCTGCAGGCTTTCCCAGGGTAGACCGGGCCTACCGGGGAAAACATGCTGTAGTCCTGCTCTATCTGTCTCAACCTGAGGCACAACACTCTTCCTGTTTGGATGGTGCTAGAAACAGAACAAGCCTACATGTTCTAGTTTGCACAGTGTATCTGTCAACACCTGAACTCTCCCATAAGTTACTGATACAGTACAAAAAACCTACATGCAAATACAAAATTGGTATACATGCTATATATACTCTGTCTGAGTGTAAACAATTTTGCTGTGTGTAGCAATATAGTCCATTAACATCATCAAGGTTCCCTCTAAGCTACGTGACTCTGCCCTCCTTCATGCAGCTTTTCTCCTCCTCTGTGCACTCCCAGTGATAGTTTCCAGCCCCTTTCATTCCAGTCCCAAAAGAACCCCACATGTGGGGAATGGAGCTCTGTCCAGGGGGCTGACAATTAGAGGGAACATTGAACATCATGCTTCATGAAAGTCTACTGCTTTTCCATCCAGTTTTCACACTGACTAGGGAGTGTTTCACTTATGGAAAGCATGATGTCACCGTCCTTTAAAGCATTTTGCACAGTAATATTCAATATCTCCAACATTTCAAATAATTTTACTGTTCACATTGTGTCAGGCGGTTTTCTCTCACATTTATATAAGTATTAATTAATTTAATTTGTTTGATAGATACTCCTATCTGAGATTACAGGATGTTTCAAATGGCATTCAATTTTCTTTTTAAGTCAGTTCATTTTTCAGATATTTGTTATATACTGTATTCAAATAAATCTCAAATTTAAATGAACAAAGCTGAGAATCGAACCAATGTTTATTCTTCCTGATTACAAATTTCAAATTAAATATTAATAAAGAATGGAAACATAAAACACTAATGGTGTTTAGATGTTTTAAGAAATCTAAAAATGAAGTACTTTTTCTGATACTTACAGTTCCACCTACTATTCTTCCTAGTGGATACCATGCTCTTTCATCAAACCAGTTTAAGAATTCATAAAATCCATGTGATGCAAGATGATGTGTTGATCTGTAATTAAACCTGAAAAAACAGATGGTTTAATAAATTTGCCCTTTAAGTAATATTTACTTCATTTTAGACAAGACTAAGACATCTGCCAAACAGAGATCCATTTGGGAAATTAAAAGGATGAAATTTTAAAGAAAATTATTTTAAAATATTAATTCTTATGACTGAATTGCCACAAACATAAACACTTTCAACTTAAAACTAATTATTTCACTGAATGCCCTTAAATTTTCATCTCCCAAATAATATGGTGGGTGTGAAAGCTTTGTTAACCACCTTAAACAACTTCGGTATGGGGAAAAACTCACATTTTAAAAAGTTAGTACTTTGAACCTGATGACCTCTCAACAATTTATACAGTCAATGGAATAAAATTCCTCCCTACACCCCCCATACAAATTTGCACCAATACTCAGTTTTAGTTCTCTTTATAGGGAAAAACAGAAAAGTTGCAGTCTCTCAATTATGCTGCTCCCATCTGTGCAGTGGGCTCTTTATCAGAATTTTGCAGTGATTCTAATTTACTGATGTACATAACTGCAGGAAGGACCAAGCTTTCATTTTACAGATTATGTATTTTATCCAAATGAGAGACTGGCTGAAATCCAACTGAAGTTCTCATAAAACTATACCTGCAGAACTGTGCAGGATGTCACATGCAGGCAGTCTGCATGATGCAGTTTTACTGTGTAACTGATCATATCATTCACAGGACAACTGTTGCAGAACATCAGGGTGGATTAAAATCCATGATTTTTTTTTTTAAAAAAACCTAACTTTTAAATCAGATTTTCTTATTTAAAACATATTTATTTTAATAAAATGGTTTTGGAGGAAAAAAATCTATCTAAATATAGTTTTCTATTTAAAATGCATTATAGCTCAAAAGTTATTTAGCATGAAGCTGTATTTTCATGCAATATTTATATTTTTGGTAAATTCAATTGATCCAAGTTATCCAAGCTGAGATAACATGCACTTTTTCATGGTAAAAATGCTATAAAATGAACAAAGTTCAGGAACAGATCCATTGTTATTCTGCAAATCTATGTACAAACTATGAACACATTGATTTTAAAGCAAATACAAGAATACTTATGCTATATGTTAGTGCTTTAGTCAAATAAAACAATTTAAGTAGTTCTCCAAATGTGATTAACCTATTAAACTAAAATCAGTTCTGATATGGCTATTTTAGTACTTTGACAAGTTATTATTCTAAATATGAAATCTTATTCTGGTTCCAAATATTAAAGATTATAAATAACAGCAAGAATGAGTCTTTACATTTAAAAATCATTATTATATCAAGTCTTGCTGATAAGTGATTTAAATCATTATTTAAATTGTGATGTAAATCAAATCCACCCTGCACAACACATTCACGGATAGCATTCTGTCTTGGCACTATTAGGGCTACTGCTTGGACAAATTCAATATACACATGTATAGCTCTGAAAACAGGATTTCAGCCACTGAATTTTCAAGTAACAAGGTTATTTGGGCAGCCCCCAAAAACATCACTGAAAATTGTGCTGTCAAATTTCAGTATCAACTGGGTAACTCCCAATTTAAATCAAGCATTGTGATTATTTTATATGCACTGGAGTGATGTTTTTCAAAGCAACTGCCTCTTTCGCATAGTTTTTCTTCCTCTTTCCTAAGCTTTAATCTGATGTAGGTGGGGGCAAAAACACTGTCCAGACCTGTCATAGTCTATGCTCCTCCAAGAAATGTGAAGTACAAAGGGAAGGGATAGAATTGCAGGTTGAGACTGATAAACAAACAAATAGTCAAGGACTACCTTACTACTTTAAATGAGTTCAAATCCTTGGGACTGGATGAACTGCATTCAGGAATATGGAAGTAGACTAAAGAGATTGCAGAACAACTCTCTATTATTTCCTTGAAATCATGGAGAACAGCTGAAATACCAGATGATTTGAGGAAAGCTAATGTTTCTATCTTGAAAAAGGGTGAAAAGAATGAACTAGGGAGCTACAGATCAGTCAGCCTGAATCAATCCCAGGAAAAATTCTGGAACAGATTATAATGCAGTCATTCTGCAAGCACCTAAAAAACTACGTATGCAGTAATAACTAGAAGCCAACATGGATTTGTTGAGAACAAATCCTGCCAGACTAATTTTATCTCATTTTTTTGATCAAGTAACCTCCAAGGTAGATAGCAGGAATGCTGTAAATGTAATATATGTTGACTTTAGCAAAGCCTCTGACAAAGTGCCCCCATGATATTTTGATTAAAAAGCTAAAGAGATGTGGGCTGGATAGAACAACTGTTAGGTGGATACACAATTGGTTACAGATTCATAAAGAGTGCTTATCCATGGTTCCTTCTCAAACTGGAAGGAGTAAAAAGTAGGGTGCCACATAACTCAGTCTTGGCCCTGGTACTCTTCAACATTTTTATTAAAGACTTGGATGAGAGAGTGCAGGGAATAATAATTAAATCTGCAAATTATACAAAATTGGGTGGAATAGCTAATACTTTGGAGGAGATGAATAAAATTCAAAAAGACCTTGATAGGCTGAAAACATGAGATTGAAATTCAACAGGAATAAGTGCACAGTTCTACACCTGGGCAGGCGAAACAAATGCACAGTTATAAAATGCGGGATACTTGGCTCAGTAATACAAGTGAAAAGGATCTTGGAATTGTTCTAGATCACAAGCTGAATATGAGCCAGCAGTACGATGTGCCTGCAAAGAAGGCAAATGCAATTTTAGGATACATCACCAGATGTATAGTCTCCAAATCACATTAGGTACTTGTCCCCCTCTATTCAGCACTGGCTAGGCCTCATCTACTGTGTCGTTAAGAAAGATGCCAACAAATTGGAAAAAGTTCCGAGGAGGGCAACAAGAATGATCAGGGGACTGAAAACCAAGTCCTGTGAGGAAAGACTGACAGAACTGGACACTTAGTCTTCAGAAAAGAAGCCTGAGGGGAGATATAATAGCACTTTTCGAATAACTAAAAGGTCCCATATTGCAGGACACATAATAATGGGTTCAAGCTACAGGAAGCCAGATTTAGCCTGAATATCAGGAAAAGCCTCTTTAAGTATTAGAGCAGTATGACAATGGAACAAATTACCTTAGGAAATGGTGAACGCCTTAATATAGGAGATTTTCAAAAGAAAATTGGATAACCATCTGTCAGATCTGATTTGATTTGGATTCCCGCAATGAGCAGGGGACTGGGCTTGCTGGCCTTACAAGCCCCTTCCAACTCTATTATTCTATGGTTGTATGATTCTACATCAGGATGCTGTTTATACAACTATGAAAACAGGAGATTGCCTTGATTTTACTGAATGAAGTTTTCCAGTATTTCTAAGTCTGGCAATACTAATTTAGTACAACTAACTGTAATAAAGGCTTAGAAAAAACTTGCAATATGCTGTCAGATTGTATCAACTAAGCCCAAGAAGCAACCTATCACTTTAGGGGAAAAGCAGTGATTTCTTAAAACTCAACACTATTTAAGGGTAATAAAACATATACACTTTGTTGTTTTTCCCCGAGAGCCGCACAACTCAATTTATAGTTGTATCATTTAACTTGAAGGAGTAATAAGGTACTGCTTATACTACACAGTAATTATTTATAGCATAAAAGAATCCTGAGATATCAGACTTTCACTCACTTGTCCCAGAAAATACAACTGCTTGCAAGCCCACTAAATTTAATATTTCCACATCATCACAATGTGAGATGTATTCACATTCCTCTTCCTTTATTTTACTCCAGTTCACTTACTATATGTAGTAGTGGTCAGTATACCCAAAATAAAGAAAGTAATTTTAAAAAGAGAATCAATTGATAGGTTATATGCCTTTTGTCGTTCATGCATTAATATTGGCTTGATTATTCCTCTGAACGTAACCATTTTGAAACCATAACACATGTGAATAAGCCAAGCACTGCAGTTAATTTTAAGCATGACTTGTTGAAACAAGCCGCCCATAAACCATGATGTGTAATTATCTTATTTCAAGCACATCATTATGAACTAATCACATCTGGCTTTGGACATTCTGACAAGTTGCCACAAAAGGAAATACATATCTGAAATCCTTCTTGTAGCTCAAAAGAGGATGAAGATTATGCAATCTGGAGAAGACTGGAAGGTTCAGAGCCACCAAAAGAAACCATGGTCTATCACCAAACACAGCCAGTCTGGAAAGGTAACAGCATACATATAAATGGGTCTGAAGTTTGAATTGCCCACAATTGGACCAAAAAACCTCTTTAAACACAAAAGCAAGAAGCAAGCTCACATTCAGAACAGAAAACCTGAATGACACATATGTTGTTCCGTATGTACATTTGTTTCAGCATCCAAAAGAGAGGGACACACAGAGAGAATTTGGAAGCTGAAATTCAAATAGGTAGGAATGGAAAGAAGTCCAAATGAGCAGAAGGCAAAGAAACCTAGACAAGTATATTTAATGAGTTAGAAATATGTGTTACATGCTGTCAAGTCAGAACAATTTTAAAAATACAGATTTCATGGTGAGATATTTAAGAAGTGATTTTACAAGTCGTCTCCTCAGTGAGTTTCCGTGGCTGAACAGAATTCAGACCCAGGTCTCCTGAAACCCTAGTCTGACACCCTACCCACTATACTGCACTAGGTGTAAGTTAGAAAAAATGTGATCCAAATAAAGAGTTCAGTATCCACCTATACTTCAGAGTAAATTATCCTTATTCAATTTAACCTTAAGTTGGAAAAAACTTCATGTTTTAACATCCTTACTTAAAATGAAGTTTCCCAAGCATAAATGATTATAAATTGAAAAAATTGGAATATACTACTGATAAAAGATCAGTAGCTTATACAGAGAATAGTCCAATCTACTAGGAAGCTCAAAATTCTGTTTGTTAATAGCAATCAACAAAAGAAAGAGGTATATAATGAGCAAGTGATCTAGAGCACTGGTTCTTAACCTTGGGTTACTCAGGAGTTTTGGACTGCAACTCCCAGA